AACTTGGCAAGACTTAAATAGTTTCATTTGAGAATAACTTATAGTTGATAGGTTTTTCTAGTATTTTAAGGCTCCAATTATATTCCTTTCCTCACATCTTCCCTGAACTATACATCGTGCCCATCAAATAAAAGTGAAAATGCATTTATATTGTTTTTTTAAATTTTTTCATATTTAATTCCTTTCATTTAGACGACTACCCATACTATCATTATAAGAACGCATCTGTTAAAATATGTTCCAACTAAAGCATGGTAGGCTTTGAATGCTCGATAAAAATCATTCTCTGAGGCTAATGAAGACAGAAACTCTGCCTGTAACAATATTAAGTTTGTTTTCTCCAGTGATTCAGAGAAGTGAGCAATCTGTCAGTAATACATTGAGTGAAATTACTTGTCTTGTAGGAATAACTGCTGACAGTCACTGTATCTCGGGGCTGACCCAAACATCTCCCTGCTGACAAACAAATTACTATGTCTAACTTTGAAAAGGTAACTAGCCTGTTTTTAATTTTGATTGGTCTTTCAGAACCCTTTATACTTACACACTGTCCCATCCTTCATTGTATTAAAAAAAAAAAAAAGAAGCAACAAAAGTGTTTTGGGTGGATAGGTTTGAATTAATGAGTAAAGGGGGGAAAAAAGTAAAGAAAGAAAGCTTTACCATATGGAGCTAAGAAAAAGAACTGTTATTGCTTCTTCCCGAGACTGTTATGCAGATAAAACTGGTGAGTATGTCTACCCAACATTAAGACTGGCAGTGCCGCCAGTGACTGACTGGGTGAGTGAACACATTACCGAGACAGTATTGTAGGAATTAATTTTCTTCAATAAAGTGATTTTTAAGGCTCATATATTTCACAATCTAAACATATGTCACTGTTTCATAAACAAAATAAATGGATTAAAATAATACATTACCAATATGCTGACATGTGGAGATGTTTTAATTAGAAATTCTTAAGCTGTGTGATATTTAACTGCTGTATTTGCTAAAGAGAGCATGTATCATTTAATAAGAAGGCATGAGACAGGTGTATTATTTTGCATGACATGGTACCAGATTGTGTTTACTATAAGCTACAACTATGAGGCAACATTACTCCTAATTAAAAACAAAATTAAACAAGATCACCTTAAGGATCTATTATATTGAAAGTCATCACCTACAATGAATCAATACACTGAAACCATTTTTTCCTTAAAAAAAAAGTCATTCAGCCGAAACCGGTTTGGCTCAGTGGATAGAGCGTCGGCCTGTGGACTGAAAGGTCCCAGGTTCGATTCCGGTCAAGGGCATGTACCTGGGTTGCGGGCATATCCCCAGTGGGAGATGTGCAGGAGGCAGCTGATCGGTGTTTCTCTCTCATCGATGTTTCTAACTCTCTATCTCTCTCCCTTCCTCTCTGTAAAATATCAATAAAATATATTAAAAAAAAAAAAGTCATTCAGAGCTTAGTTTCTAAGATGATATTTCTTCAGAAACAATCTAACATCTTAGCTATTCAAAGGCCAAATTTACATGACCACCTCATTATATTGGTCCCCATTCCTTAACATTCTTCTTGACTTACTTGAAGGACCAATGCTAACATAGCTGAGGAAAGCAAATGGCAACTGGCCCTGAAATTTATACGGGTAGAGAATTGGAATAAGTAGCAATATAATATATTGTTTACTGTAGCAAATGCCCTCTGTTCTCTAAAGGTCAAAAACACTGCAACCTTAGAGTTACAGTTTCTGATTGTTCCCAGGGTTAAATACATTATCAAAATTAATGGTTCAAACCCCTAAACCTTCAGATATATGAGTATTCATGTCTCCATCTGTTGAACTGTTCAACTAAAAATAGCATTCTTTGGCCTGCTCTCTTCTAAAATTGTGCCCCTGAGACAGAAAAAAAAATGCCTTAGATTAGCTCAGAAAACCAACAAAGTAAAAAGAAATCTTTCCTGCATCTTCTTTATTCCAGAGAAAGACAGAACTGGAATATACTAATGTAAGAAGGATCTTTCCACTTTAAATATCTTTTCTCTACTTGCTAACAAAATTTCGGGCTTCCAGGGTGTGACCATAAACACTGTTAAGATTTATCCAGGCTTATAACTGTTAGAAGTAACAACCTTTGAAGGACAAGTTAACTGTGACATCAGATAGGACCAGTGCTGAGCAACGCAGCGGGGGGGGGGGGGGGGGGGGGGGGGTGGGGGGGGAGGGGTGCTGGTGGTAGTGGTATCAACATATTGTGGACTTTTTTTTTCTTTCTTTCTTTTTTTTTTTTTTTTTTTACTAAGAATCTCTGTTTAGAACTAAAACAAGTTAACATACTTGCAATGCTTCCTTAGTATCAACAGTTTATCATGGTAATGATTGTTGGAGCTGTGACATTTTAGCTTGTCAAAGAAGGGGAGAAAACCTTAGCTAGAAAAGAAAGCTGACTTTAAAATCAATAAAGCAAGATATTGTTAAATGTTCTCTCTATTCTTGCTAAAGACTTTAAATATTAATGTCTGTAGCAGCTTCGACATGAGTGTCTACTCTGCTGTTCATAAACGTCCCAATAAACACGTTAGACTAACACCTGGAAAGTTTAGGCAATCTGCCTTTCAAACAAGGTCGAGCTTTTCTAACCAGGGTACCATACAAGCAAACAGAACAAAGGTTTCCTAACGTGCAGGAAAAACTTGCAAAAAAATGGAAGCAAGAAAACAGAGCAAGGATAAACAGAAACCCAAGAAATTCTCAAACCAGCCCAAACTCAAACTGCAAAGCTGTGAGGGCTCCTGCTTAAATGGGTTCTCTATTTAGCCTAATAAAAGTGACAGACATCAGCACATGTTGTGCTTCCCCATCAGCACTGCTACAGCAACACCCAGATCTGGCCCTCACATGTATGACATTATGGCATCAAAGCCCAACAGAAGCCAGACTTGACAGCATCAGGAGCCAGTGATGTTGTGACAGAAAAAAGTCAACTTAAGCCCTAAACGGTTTGGCTCAGTGGATAGAGCGTCGGCCTGCGGACTGAAGGGTCCTAGGTTCGATTCTGGTCAAGATCATGTACCTTGGTTACGGGCACATCCCCAGTAGTGGGTGTACAGGAGGCAACTGATCAATGTTTCTCTCTCATCGATGTTTCTAACTCTCTATCCCTCTCCCTTCCTCTCTGTAAAAAAAATCAATAAAATATATATATATATATATATTTTTTTAAAAAAGAAGTCAACTTAAGTGATTTGTGAAAATGTAGTAAAAGAAAATCTAGGTAGAAAACGGCTAAGAGAAGGTTGATGGGATAAACCTCAACACTTCAAGAGAACATAAAGTCAAAGAGGAGAGGAGGTCACCTGCGTTCACATTCTTTCAAGCACTTAAAAGTTTAACAAACTAACTGTCCTGAGAGGGTAAGCTTGCTAACTGTTTTCACATGGAAAGCTTGTTCTTAATGTCCAGTTTCTATTTAGCAATCAATCCTAAGCATAGATTTCAGAATGTCCAGAAATATGGTATCTTTTCTACATCCAAAAGCCTTAGGAGAGAAATCCTTTCTGGCTGTACAGCAGACAGCAGATAGTGAGAGTGTATGCCTGGTCATGCCTGGGTGGAAATCCCCTTATACCTCATATCAAAGGGGAAGGGTGAGAGCAAAGGGGGCAGTGAGCTCTAGAACTCCTCCCTAGGCTATTTCCAAGGTGGCCTTTGATCTTGTTCCCTCCTTTTTTCTCTGGAGTAAACGTTATCATTTTCCAAAAATGTAGATTCAAAAGCAGCAGAGAAGAAGTCACATGGACACTTTATTGAATACATAGTATGCAATGTGTACAACTTGCAGAGCCAATAGAAGCTGAATATACAACTTTTGCTAGCTGTAATTACTTTGTTTTCCTTCCTTCTTTCCTTCCTTCCTTCCTTCCTTCCTTCCTTCCTTCCTTCCTTCCTTCCTTCCTTCCTTCCTCCCTCCCCGCCTCTCTCTCTCTCTCTCTCTCTCTCTCTCTCTCTCTTTCTTTCTTTTTTTTGAATTGGGTTTCCTATCCTTGGTTAGAATATAAAATGTAGTATTACATCTAACCCAGAAAGTCAAAGTGTGTTTTCAGTCTGAGGTAATCTGTCTCCATTTTTTTTTTTTTTTTTTTTTTTTTTTTTTTTGTGATTCAACAGCTTGCTGGCAACTCGCCAGTACCTTAGAGTCCCAGAGAGGAACACCAATGATATAGGAAAGGAATTAAGCATGAAATTAGAGAATAACTAGATCCCTGTAGAAGAAAAGGACTTGGTTTTCAAAAGAGACATATAAGCCATCTTCTCTCAAGTAGTAAGAATACCACACACACACACACCAAAAAAACAAACTAACTAACTAACTAAGAGCCTTACTGGAAGTTTAATACGAAAGGAATACTATCAAAATTTATGGGGCAAAAAGCAAGCAGCCAGACCCAGGCACCCATCCCTACTTCAGCCCGAGAAAACTAAGTTAAGAAACCTGAATTAGGTAGAGTAAAAAATATCCTAGGTAAAAACTTTGACTCAGGCATATTTTGTAGCCTTGGTTAAAAAACTTGACCTCTCTGAACCTCTGTTATTTATCTGTACAAGTGGAACCATATTCTATCAACTTTACAGAGTTTTATGTGGTCAAATGAGATTTTTGGAGTGTTTAAGTGTTTTTTTAACATTATACATCACTATACATTTAAAAAAGTAATAATAAGTAAAGAAAATAAAGATGGTTTGAAAACACACATAATATTAAAAAATTGCCTAAATACATATACAGGGATAAACAACCTAATTCAGGGGCATTGGTTTGACATCTGCTTTTTTTTTTTTTTTTTTTTTATGAAAGAAAAGGGGTAAAAAGGAGCCTGCCTAGGAATTAGAAGTAGGAAATGATTATCTTGTAGTGTTTAGGTTTTGTGTTTGCCACTTTTGAAAAAGCCTAGAATATGACTGAACAATCCAGTCCCCCACCCAATGAAGCACCAATGGAAGTATTCATACCTCAATCTGTTTGTGGTTGTAAGAGTGGCCACCACCATGTTCAAAGGTGTCCAAACTCCTGCCAAAACGGTCACTTAGGCCCTTTAGCCTTGGGTTAATTTGTGGGTGGGAGACATGACCCTTCTGTTTAGTAGCGTATTCAGAAAAAAAAAAAAAAAAGACAAAACACACTGTCAGAACTCATGAAACAGAACACATATTTCTACACCCAGGGTACTGACCACCCCAAAGCATAGAAAGTAGAAGGTTTAGGACCCAGATGCTCCTTCACAGAAACTCGGCTCTAAGATCAAACAATGGGACTGATTCTTATTCCTGCCTCTGACTCAAGGGTACACTCTACAGCATAGCTATCTAAAAAGGAGAAGCAGATTAGGTTTCCTGGTAGTGAGGCTTTTCTTAGAGTTCACAAATTGCAGCAAGTTCCAGTGTTAGTAGTGGGGAAGGGGGAGGCTTGGAAGAGAGGTAGGGTTGCCACTCTTATAGGCAAAACTTTTAGTTCTGCTGGGCAGTCCATAATAAGGCTTTCTGGATGAGGCTTAGGATAAACACTCAAAGTCTTGCAAAAATTCTTACTTGAAGACCCAATTGAAAACGGTCAAAATAATGTTTTCATGGTAAAATACTTGTACATTTTTTAATGTTGAGGTTATGTAGGGAATAGCAAAGAAGAAAGTAAAATGCCTAGCCAGGTGCTATTTCCTTGATTATTTAAGAAAAATCAAAAATAATCACAATAAATTATAAGAATAAAATACTATCTTTAAACTCTCCACTGTATTGAAATGAAAGTTGGTTGTTATCATACTTTTTAAATGTTTAAATTCTGAAGGTTTAACCATTATTTTAATATTATCTTTTTGCTAAAAATGCATACTCATTTACAGTCAATTTCCCACTAAAAGGCAGTACTGGAAGGGTGTAAAGATCGCCTCACCCTACTGTACACCCTTCACTTTACTGTGAAAAAGACAAGGTACAGATGATTTTTCATTCAGCTTCCTAAACACTTTGCCCCAAGTTTAGTTTTTAAGTAAAGAACTTGGTCAGACACCATGCCCAGACTTTCAACCTGGAACGAGGAAGAGGATGAGGTGACGATACGCATGCTCAGGTGCAATATGTTTACATTTTACTAAGTAGCTAAAGTAATTTGGTAATAATGACGACCCCCTGTTCTATGAGCTGCTAGAAGGAAAATATACAACACTGTTCTCTGTTTTGATGCTTATATGTAAAAGCTAATTTGACATAAATTAAGACATGGGTGGAAACTTGACAAGGAAAGCTAATGCAGCCAATAACAACCAGCCATAAAGAAATTGTCAAACCATTAACTCACCTGATAGAGAATATAAAGTCCTAAGTCATCGTGTCATTTTTCCTTTAAAAATATTGAAACTGGCACTTTTCTATTTGCAGTATGGCAAGTACATAAGGTGTTAATCCTCCTAGGCCGCTTAAAAAATTATTTAACATTCGGGCTATTATTTAGCATACAGCTGGTTAGCAGTTTTCCACTAGAGCACTGGCGAGCATCCCACATTTTCCTCTGGCACTTACCTGGAGCTGTAAAGGGCTGAGGCCCGAAGCGGCAGCAGCTGCCATTGTTGATGGAATGAACTGTACGGGGTAGTTATCACCTGTCGGAAAGAACAATGCGTACAGGTTTAGACAATGCACAGGGAATCGCAGCAGACAAGTACAAACATGGCCCTGGGATTGCCTGAGCTTTACAACATTGCTCTAAGCTCAAACATCTGCAGAAACAAAAGGCTTCGTTGGGCACAGACTTGCAGTGCTGCCTTGGAACTTTTTGTTAACAGATAGCTGGTAGGCAAACTGGCAAAACATGAATGTGATGTTAAAAAAAATTTAATGTGCAATTCAAGCATGTTCACTCCATTACAAATCTTGTAATACATCATTTTTTTAAGAGTAAAAAAATATCTTAAAGCCAGGCTGACACTCCGTTCACTAAGAAAGCATTAAGGCTTTTGTATTAACAACAAAAACTTTCTTGGTAAGCAAGGCAGAGCGTTAGAGCCCAAAAAAGATTGTGATCTATTAACTGTCCATAACCCTAAACTATACTTTATTAAAAAAAATAGAGAAAAATTTGTAAAATGCAACCTCTTTAATTGATAGCAGTGAGAGGGAAACTCATCTTCTCTGCCAACATTCTGTGAAATGCCTGGTATCCCAACAGAAGTGGACGCATTATTTTTCTGGATTAACTTCTGTGGAGCCTAGTACAGAACCATGCACTCTAGGTACTTATCACTTCCTCCTTGATGATGTGATTTCATAACCATATGTTTTACATGGAATATCTCCATTAAAGTTTGGAAAATATTAAGCATGGTTCAGCAGAGGTCGGTGCTACATCCTAACGTGTTTCTGACTCCAGGCCTCTCCTAAATAGGGGGACGGAGGTGCCGACGGTGACCTAAGAGCACAGGCTGTGTGCACCGACCTGAGGGACCAAGAGAAAGCACTGAGGACTGTATTGTGATCGTGGTAACTGAGGTCAAAATGAATACTTGTGGACAAATCACACAATATTCGTGATTAAATGGAGCATCACTTGGGCTCCGGCCACTCATTTAAAGTCAGTGTTGTGCACTATTTCTAGGCTATATTTTAATAGGCTGTTCCTTCACACATTTTTGACATTTATAATAATCATGCTGTTTTGCATGAACTTTTCCACACTGAAAACTGAATGTATAATGAAGAGACGGTGTAGAAAGAATCGCAGTAACAGCGGTAGTCAACTGGAAAGCAACTAACCTCTTTGTTTTTTTTCTGCATGGACACCAATACCTGGAGCCTCCCGATGCCCTTGCTTCCCTGGGACGCATCCTGCCTGCCACACAAAGTGCTGCTCAGCTGGCCCAATGTACATGTTAAGTCACTTTCACTTTTAACAAATTGTTAGCTTCTGATCTGCACAGTCTCTTTGCATCATATCCATAATACCTCATCAGACCATTGAGCACAGTGTGTGCTCGTGTGCAGTCCAGTAACAATTGGCTTCTGATTGCATACGAGCGCTGCTACAATGCACTCACTAGCACTATGCTGTGCTGGTCTCCTATGGAGTAATGTTCAAAATATCTGATCTTGTTTTTCCCCTTCCATGAGGTTGATTTTGGTTTGCAGTGCTGCATGAGCTTTTTAAAAAAGTTAACTAGGCCAAATTATTTTTTATAGTAAGTCACTGTCGCTTTATGCTTAAATAATTCCACTGATCTCCTTGATATTTAAACTAAATTATCGGATGAAAGAATATTCCTATCTAAGTCAAATAGTATTGCTTTGGTTGATATCTGATCACGTTAAAAAAAATCACAAAACGATGCTGAATTAATGATGCTTCAAAAATAGGGTGGAAAAAATCACCATTCCAACTATCAACATGGACTGCCTCCCAGAACATTTTAGAGCTATTCTTTCTTTAAATATCATGCATTATTCATACTAACTCTAAACCACAAAACCCCCCTCCCTGTAAGTTTAATACCAGTTGCTTTATTTGTACTAAAACATTTTTCATGTCAAACATATTTTAAAAAATCAAACTCTAAAAGAATTCCCTGGGGCACTCCTTTTCTCATAGCTGTCATGCTTCTATGCTATGAAATAGCTGATTTTTTTTAATAGTTTTTGGCTTGCTAGTTAATTTATTACTATCTCTACCACACCCTGTAGTACTCTCCAGCTCACCTGCTGGCTACAAACAGCTCTCTTTCTACTGCTGACAAGCTTATTTTTAAAGCGTTTCTAACTTTGCTGCCGGTTTGAATCTGTATGTCTAAATATAATCTTTGCAAAGCTATTTCTCCAGAACATATCATTGTATCGATATTAAAAGTAAAAATGAATATATTAGAGCAACAGAGATTATCACATAAAATAATTAGAAGAGAGAGAAAAAGGAAAAGTCAAGAGAGGGAGAAGATAAGGGTTAAGGAAAGAGGGGATTATAAAAGTAGAAGAGGAAAATATAAGAGGGAGAGGGATTTAGGGTGTTGGAAAGTTTAATTTTTTATAACAAAGTTACGTGCTCTCCCCAACCCCCTTTTGTTTCCTCTGTGTAAGAGTTGATCAAGAAAAAGTTCTCAGTGGCTGACTTGGCAAGGAATCAGTCAACATGTTGTAGCAATTTTTTTCAAATTTGTCTCTGGATTTGAAATGCTTGCGTGAGCACCCATTCTTTTAAATTTGTACAAAGGAAGATGAAGCCTGTTGGAACAGGTTGGCTTTAGGCACTGCCGTACTCTGGCTCCTGCCACCTCTAGTGTACGAAGACAACCTCCAAGAGATAGTCTGGAAAAGAATGCCCATTCTGCAAATCCATCTCTCCAGCCTTCTAGATTTTCCAACTGACTATTTTTACCTGAGGATTACAGTACAAATACGAAACAGGACTTAAAACCTATGGGACATTTGCCTAACATTCGTTTCACTTGTCACACTGGGTAACATTCCTTTGAAATCAAAGTAACTCCACAGCAAGAGTCCCTGAATGACAGAAAGTACATTGTGTAATTTTCAAGGAAACTGAAATGAAGCTAAAACTTATTAAGACTTAAATACAGGAGGAGGGGGAACTAGGACTCAGTTTACCTCCTACAAGAATACTCATAGTTTGTGTAATTCAGATAGAAATTCCACTTTCATTAAAGAGTCAAAAATCCCACAGGTAAAATTCTGCCCATTTAGTTTGATTCTTCAGAAAGACAAGGGACTGGGATGGTTGTGGTCTTCTGAGATATTCACTTCAGATATTAACCTACTAAGGAATCATTTAAAGAGCTTGGGAGGAGTAGAGAAGAGAGATACATTAAACTGGGAGACAGGATTCAAAGATTCCTCAGTTAATTGGCTCAAAGTCTCACACCTTACTCTACACACTCCAAAACAGAAGAAAAGTTGACTACACGACTCTAACTATCTCACAGATTAATTTGTGGTGGCATCATAGGTTTATGGCAAATTACTTGAGTTGCCAAGTAACTTATATATAGATTCCATTTTTATAAGCTATCGTCATTCTTGCTACAATATAGAAATAGTTCAATCACTATCATCAATGTAGACTTAGACATACCACTTTGCATCTTGCCTGGATGTATGTATTCAGAGTAGCAAAATATTACACTTCCTCTATATTCTAAAAAATTGCCATCATCTATCTGAATTTATCTTTGTGAAACATCACATCACAGCAAAAGTTAGCAGGTAATGGGTGACACTTTTAGAATTCTAAAAATAGAACAAAACCTTCCATCTGTTCTGAGGACAATTGGGCAAAAAAATTTGGCAAGCATACTCTTATTTCTCCTGCTAAACTGCTCCTTCTCTGTTCATTAAAGAATAGACCAGTGATGGCGAACCTTTTGAGCGCGACATGTCAGCATTTTGAAAAACCCTAACTTCACTCTGGTGCCGTGTCACATATAAAAATTTTTTGATATTTGAAACCATAGTAAAACAAAGACTTATATTTTTGATAGTTATTTTATATATTTAAATGCCATTTAACAAAGAAATATCAACTAAAAAAAATGAGTTCGCATGTCACCTCTGACACACGTGTCATAGGTTCGCCATCACTGGAATAGACCAATGATGAGAAGAGCCTTGAGTTTTAGGAGTCTTAGGAGTTTTCCTAAGAGTATCTGCATATTGTTTGTTTGTTTATTTTTAAATATGTTTTTATTGATTTCAGAGAGGAAGGGAGAAGAAAAGAGAGAGAAACATCAATGATGAGAGAAAATCACTGATTGGCTGCCTCCTGCATGCCCCACACTGGGGATCAAGCCTGCAACCCAGGCATGTGCCCTGACCAGGGAATTGAACCACAAACTCCTGGTTCATAGGTCAATACAACCACTGAGCCATGCTTTCCAGGCTATCTGCATTGTTTTTGATACCTTCAAAGAAGCTAAGATTCAAGAATCAATCTTAATTTCTTTACCTATTTCTTAGATGCATCCACTCCTCTGACCAATATATAAAAATTCATGGAATTTGTCACAATAGCAATTAAATAAGTGAGGGTCGATGAACTGATATAAATCCACCCCCATTGCAAGAAATGAAATTATAATACCACTCAGTTTATGCCTTAATATTAGCTCACTAATGATATAGGCTCTATATATGAAGGAGGAACAGTTAAAATGATCTCCATGAAGCCAGGTTAGTTTACATGGATGAACATATTTTCTTCTTGGACTGCAACATTTTAATTTACAAATTAGAACACTAATATGAAGAAACTAAGATGCTTTAATTTCAAGTAGATAGATTTAATCAAGTATTCCAGCAACAGTGGTTACACACCTATGATTTAATTCTGGAAATGGTAGAAATCCCAGCTCTATAAGATGTCATTTGGTAACCCCATACATATAAATCACATTTTTTCCTACAGAAAAAGCAAACACCAGATTTTTCTTAATGTCATCCACACTTAGACCATGTCCACAAGAGCATAAAATATCAAATCAGAGAACCAGTCTGGATTCTATCTCTGCTTATTCCTAAATGGGAGTGCTTATGCTCTGGTTTCTCTTCAGACCGCATAAATCTTTCGCCTTTTACTAAATGGGAGTGCTTAGAAAAGTTAATCAATGTGTTTGATTTTCTTTTTTCTCAAGGAGCATCTTTTATTTTATTTTTATTTTTAAATCTTTATTGTTGAAAGTATTATATCTGACCCCTTTTTCCCCCCCATTGACCTCTCTAGCCTTCCTGCCCCTGCCCCAGGCCTTCACTACCCTATTGTCTGTGTCCATGGGTTATGAATGCTAGTATATGAATACAAGTTCTTTGGTTGTTTGACTTTTGTTTTCTTTTAACAAAATAGAAATAATGCTACTTTTATCTTAGAATTTTTATGAAAATTAACTTAGAATATACATTATACTTATATAATTATTTTATATAAATGTTTATTTCATTTATTTACTAGTACATAAAATTTATTATTTATGTTTATAGACTAATAAATGGTGCTCAATAAATACTAAATGAAACAAAGGAATTAAAAAGAAGCATTAGATAACAATTGTACACCAACAAATTAGAAAATCTAGAGGAAACAGACAAATTCTTGAAAGATACAAATTACCTAAATGGATTCAAGAAAAAATAAAGAATACCAACAGAACTATAACAGGTAAAGAGATTGAATCAGTAATCAAAACCTCCCAACAAAGAAAAGTCTTGGATCAGATGGCTTCACCAGTAAATTTTATTGAATATTCAAGGAAAATTAACACTAATCTTTCCCAAAGTCTTCAACAAAAGAGAGAGAGAGAGAGAGAGAGAGAGAGAGAGAGAGAGAGAGAGAGAGAGAGAGAGAGAAACTCTTCCTAACTATTCAGTAATGAGACCAACATTACCTTGATACCAAATCCAGATAAAGACATCACAGGAAAACAAAAACACAAAAAACAGACCAATATCCTTTATGAATATAGATACAAAGTTCCTCAACAAAATATTAGCATATTGAATCCAACAACATATTAAAAGTATTATTCACTATGACTAGGTAATATTTATCCCAAGAATGCAAGAGTGATTCAACATCTAAAAGACTCAGTGTAATACATCATATTTATAGAACAAAGGGGGGAAACCCCCACTTGATCATCTCAATTGATGCATTTGACAAAATCTAATAACTGTTCATGATAGGAAAAATAGTCTCAGAAAAGTAGGAATACAGGGAAAGTTCATCAACATGCACAATTCCTGTGGGCAACACTCCTCAGTAAGCCAGCGAGGTGGGAGAGCTTGCTTGCTGCTCACTGTGCACAGGAACCCTGCAATGCCCAGAGTGATGGGCAAACTATCTGAAGGGGAAGTCCCAGAGCCCTAAATATGTTAGTTTAGATTGTGCTAATATGGGTTCAGAAACAGACAACTTCCACTGTGAATATCACCCCAAGGAGGGGAGGGCCTGGCTGTCTAGCAATCAAGACGATTATTCAATCAGCTGGCAGCATAAGCTCTCTGGAATTGTTTTAGGTTATGGGAAGGTAGAAAGGGAGAAAAAAGAGAGTCCTTTATTTTGTAATTTGTGAAGAACAAGGTAGCTTTTGCTCAGCCTCTTGCTTAGAGGATCAAAATATAAAGTTATGTGATCATTGCACAGCTTTTATATGTGACAAAGTTCCTCTCTTCTAAAAATTTAGTCATTGTCTCATGTGTATTTCAAGTGAAATTACCATAGCTCAGTTTATAGCAAAAAAGTTTTCTTACTCCAGGCTCTGGTCCAAATTCAGACTCTGGTCCAGAATCCTCCTCCCCAAATTCAGGTGAGTGACAAGAACACTGCATAGGTTAAGTCTCCTGAATATGTAATTTCTCTACTAATAGTGTAAGAACATATAATTTTAATTCTTTTTAAGTATAATTTTTATATACAGTAAAGCCTAGATTAGCCAACAAATAAAAGAATATAGAGTTCTGCTTAATTAATTTCTCTGACATAACTTAGGAGTCACCAGAAAATACTTTTATCACCAGCCTTGCCTGGGATTAAAAACTGTCCTAATGTCCAAATCTACTGTCCTGCCTTAACCAAAAGGTTTTAGCCAAAATAATCAAATACAACTTTGCTTCCCCAGAACACTACACAGTGCTGCACATATGCGGTTCGAGGGAGGTAACTCACGCCTGAACAATATTGTCCAAATCTCTATATTCTTCTTAGTTACATATTATAATCTCATTGATGCTATATGAGAAGACTTTTAAAAAATGGTCCAACTTCATTGACTATATAACAATATCTGTCCTCATGAAAAATGTCATCGTTATTTTAACAAAATTAGGCAACATGTTAACTATGTTGATATCTATGTCTAGTAGAAAGTAAGGCTCATACCTGATTTTGAAGTGTAGAGAATTTCAAATTTAAAAACACTGAAATTAAATAGAGAGTTCCACATATAGTTCATTTAAAAGGATTCTAAGATTGGTAGAGAGATGACAAACTCAGATTCAGGATAAACCAGTAAATTTAGTTTACACCAACATTCCAAAGATACTCAAGATGAAGAAACAGTTCAGAAATACTTACAGAGAACAGAGAAGGACTGAAACACTGCACTGACAGAAACATATTCTCTGACAAAATATACTCCTGTCCTTAATACGAATCTCAACTTCATAGGGGATATAACTTGTTCTGAAAATTCTGCTCTAGAAAAACCAATGTTTAGCAATCTGAATACCACAACTGTCTTTCACTCAGGTGCCCAGAAACCTTTAATACTAAGGATTGCCATTTTTTTATCTGAAGAATTTTCAAAGTCAGTCCTTAAATTAGCCAGTCCCTTAACATCTCTATTCTTTAAATCCTTTGAGTTTTGACACACATCTTACCTTTCCTTACAAGGAAGAGTGTACTCGACCAAGAGCAAAAGAGTAATCAATAGCAACAAACAGTTAAAATAAGTATCAAAATTCACCAGGTTTGTTTTTATGCTACTTAGTAAACTTTCTTACCATGCATTTTAGTAGAGTGATTTATATTTTATTAGTGCTTTAAACATATTAAAATACCTTTGTTCACTTTGTAAACCCCAAACACAAAGAAACTGCTACACTCAGATTTGTTACACACAGATTTGGTGGGTAATATAAGCAGGTTAATATGTTAAAAAGAACTTGACACAGAAATTATTAATGAGTAGAACAAGGTCACTACTTCTGAGCTGAGGTCACTTACAAAGAATGCACAAATGAAATTAAGGTTGACTTTTATTTACTTGACTATCTTCTTACATTGGATTCCTTTGGCAACATATCTTTAAACATTTAAAGCCCTGTTTACAAGGAGGCTCTGAAAGAACCTTCAAACCATTCTGTGTCCCTAATTGAATTCCCTAGGAGTCCAGTAAACTCAGAGGAATAAAGAAAAATCATAACATTTGCTAAATCATCTCAAAACATATTTCACTGCAAGGTTATGTGACCTGTTTTTTGAGGTTCCAAGATGAATGAGAAAATACTACTGAATGTTTCATTATTTAGACTAACATCAAAAAGAATTTTAGCTATTAATGGTAAGTTAATTAAATCAATCCAGTTTTAATTTTTCTTCCAAGAGAAATCATACAACAACTAATAACAACATTTTATACTGTACGTGACCACTCGGCCAGAATATAAAAGCTCTTGGGGAGGAAAGCATTGGTAACCAAAGACAATTATTCACAGTAAAGGTATGAGACAGAGCTAATAAAAATGTGTAATCACCCCCAAGGAAAGTAGCATTTTATCTATGAACAAAAAAAAAAAATCAAGTGGAAGAAGAGAAAGTAAAAGTTTTTAGCAACCAATTAGTTTATTAACATGTCACCTTCCCAATTAACTTCCCAGTTCTAATTTTACTTTTAAATAAGCTTTCATGATCTTTGTACTCATAGTTCTTTCATGTGCTCCTGTGTTTGTTGTGACTACTAAGCAAAAACATGTGGATTTTAGCATTTCCAAAAGAATGTTAAATTCTTCTCTACTTACCTGGTTTGTATGTTATTCCAGGGGGGAAGAGGAATCCCTGTTGGGCAGCAGCAGCTGCTGCCAGGGTCCGCTGGTCATGTGGAAAAATTGGGATCATGAGCGGAGGCATGTGACCCTGAACCTGCTAAACAGAAGAGAGCCTATGATCAGACAGAGAGCAAATGTACGCCAAGAAGTATTTGTTTTTCACTCCTGGTGGTGTGTGGGTATCCAAAAAGCCACCCACCTCCAACCTCATTCCAAATATGCTCCCTCAGAAATCTCGGGCCACATTCCACAAGTCCCTTCTCTTAGATTCCATTAGCACAGCAAGAACATCACCTCATTGTGAAGTTGCTTCACCCCTGCTTCCACTAAATTGTAGTTACTGGTTTTCTTTTATCTCAACTTTATTTTTCCTTTATTTTCTTTCCTTTTTTAAAACAAAGAAACAAGTTGCCTCTTACATTGTACAATGTTTAAAGGTTTTACCCTTACACCGGTTTTGCATTCTGTGCTTTATTTTGAAAACAGTATTTAGTATCCTTGGACAGAAAATAATGTCTAATTGTTATGTATTCCAAAAGCTGTGTCTCCCCAGTTAGGTATCTTATTTCAAAGCCTCACGGCATTATGTTAAACATATAGCTCTTCAGATTTAGGGCTACTACATCTTGGCTCCCAATTAAACTAATATTCTTTGCCATACACACCTCGATGTAACATATAAATTGCTTGTCTGGCTAAGCAGTTTTACAGCTTTATGCACTACCATGTAGCTCAGTAATTATGGAGTTGTATTCAGAGAGCATTTCATAATAAATCCTACTACATCAAATTTCATTTGACCTCAATAAATGTATCAAAGAGCACAAAAATGCAAAATAGAAAATCTTCACTCTCTATATCAGTATTTGTGTTCCATATAAAGAAAGTGAGAGCTATGACAGAATCATGCCTGTGGAAATCGCACTTTAATTTCCCAGCTCCCTTCTTTCCTCCAGGCATGCTGCCCTGGTTCTCGAGAGCATCACAGGAAGGTTTTGTCCTGGCTTTCAGGGCCTGATTCTATAAGTTGAACTACGGGACTTTTGTTATATAAAGATCAAAACTAGGGTGTATTAACAGCAATGATCTTTTAGTTCAAACGGGGTTTTTGGCCTCCTTACTAGCACAAAAAGGCTACATTAATTTCTATTTAAGATATAAACCATTACCACTAATTCTACCAGCCCCAAACCTTTCCCCTGTTTAAATTCCTAAATCTTCTTTTCAGGCAGAAATCCACACACTGGCTGGTGACCCTGTTTAAATAGCACTAACTTGCCTTGTCCTGTCCTTGTTCCCTCCACAGCCAGGGACATGGTGCAAAATGTTTCTGTGTGGGTCTAAGAGGTTTCATTTACCAACAGTTTTTCTCTAGGGAAAGCCCTATGATGTGGGTTAATAAAGGGCAAGCAAAAAATAAACACTTTACAGTATTTTTCTGAATTCATTTCTCAGGAAAATCAACTTATAATAAAAAGGTCTTTGTGCAATTACTACCTTGCCAGTGGGGCGTGAAAGAAACTAGCTTTAGGCAGCGATTTCTCCCATTTTAGCTGAGGTAAGCCCAAGTTTTGTACATTAGAGTACAAACTTAGCCTGCTTAAATTGGAGCTGATCCCCTAGTGCCGAGGTCTTGCCTTTAACCCTGAAGAAAAACACTAAGTTTGCTTCCAACCCCAGCTGATTGTGACCTGATGCAAATCTGAGATGTCAACATTGAGGGCACTGTTCTACGTCAGAAAATAAAACATGGTATTCTTTGTGGGTGACTATTGTTCAGTGCAAGAGTATATAGAAGGAAAGCATTTCATCTACTCCTAGAAATATGGTCCTCTCACGTACCCAGCACATAGCACAGATGCTTCACACTCTAAAGAAGGGGAGCAAGAAAGTGAGAAGTCTAAGTATCATATTTATTTAATCTTCCCTTCTGTCATTTAACAGACATTTATTACATTTTATTTATTTGTTTGTTTGTTTAATTTATATCCTCACCCAAGGATATGCTTCCACTATGTGTGTGTGTGTGTGTGAAGAGAGAGAGAGAGAGAGAGAGAGAGAGAGAGGTGATAAAAAACCAATTGATTGCCTCCCGTACACACCCCACCAGGGAATGAACCCACAACCTAGGCATGTGGCTTGACTAGGAATCAAACCTGCAACTTTGGTGCATGAGACAATGCTCCAACCAATAAACCACCTTAATAACCATGGCTATTAAGGTATTATTATGTGTGATGGATCTTGAAAAGTAGCTGGAAAAAAAATGGAGGCCATTTAGCTTGGAATAGAAAAGATACGCTATATTCAAATGTTTGAAGGAATGATATATGGAAGATGAACCAGATTAAATCTGAGCAGTTACAATGGGCAGAACTATTTTCAAAAGAAAGAGATTTTAGGGAAGTTTAATGCAAAGAATTTTCTAATAATGAGTAATCCAACAATCACTGATGAAAGAGAGTGTGTATGCCATTTCCCTAGAGTGGTCAAGTAAAGGTTGCACACCTACATGTGAGAAATTCTTGAAAGGACATGTGAAACTGAAATCCTGATTAGATAATGACCTATACACCCTTTGCAACTTGATAATTCTATGGTTGTTTAAAAGTCAACATTAGGAAGATAATGCGATCTAGTCATTCTTTCATCCATTGGACACATAATTTATTCACTATCTACTCTGCCTACAAAGGCTTTACTGCCAAACAATCCGAGCTTACATCTATACACTGCCCTTCTGTTGGCTGTGTGATCTTGAACACTCATTTAACCTTCCTGAGTCTATTCTGTCACGTAAAAAGCAAAGTTAGTGATACTACCTTACATGGTTATTGTGAGGATTAATAGACAAGGAAAGTAATGCTTGTGGCACAGTGAGTGGCACATAATAGGCACTCAGTAAGCGTTAGGTCTTTGCTCTTTGAATATTCAGTACTAGAAAATTATCAACTTACTGATAAAAGAAGAAACAGTGGATCTTATGCATAATTCTAATTCAAAAAAGAAAACATGAGCCAACTAAATAATTCAGTTTGGCAGGCCAGGGCTTGTCATGTTCTCGGCAGATACCACACCTCACAGAGCATTATCCCATCCCAAGTATCTAGAAACCGTTGAAAAAGAAGAGGTGGGATTACTGGGATCATTTGAAGATGTAATTATTCATTAAGCAGCATCTTAGGAGGAAAACATAATTTTATTTTCACGGTGCCCAAGCTCTTCGGATCATAAGGGATCAATGGCAATTAGGCATCAGACCTTAATTCTTGAATCTTGGTGCCTGAAGATATTTCCTTTGTAACTAGCTATGTACATGAGAAAACTAAGTAAACTATCCAAGGTCCTTTTTAATGCCAAGGAGCTATCAGGGTTTCATATTCACATAAGCTGTAATAGTTTAAGGAAGTTCCTTTCTGTCCATCACTCTCTACAGGGTAGGAAGTGTTAGATTTTCAATGCTATTAGCTCAGAGGCAGTTTCAATAAAACGAGGGTCAAAGTAAATAAGGAGGGGAACAGAAGGCATAGGGAGAGCAATAGTAATAGTAGACTCAGAGGTGGAACAGAGTTTAGAGTTTATCTCACCTAGTAGTTCTCCAAGTACAGTCCCTAACTAGCAGCATCAGCCATACCTGAGAATTTTAAAAAAGCAAATTATGGGGTCCACCCCAGACCTATGAACCAGAAACTCTGGGGTTGGATCCAACTATCTAAAATGTAGACTAACATAATCCAGAGCAGTGATGCTCAGATTTTAGTGTGCATCAGAATCTGGAGGGCTTGCTAGAACAAAGATTGCTCAACCCCACCCTCAAAGTCTCTGAACCAGTAGATTTGAGGTAGGGGCCTAAGAGTGTATTTTTCTAACAAATCCCCATGTGAAGTGAAGCTGGTGCTGCTTGTCCAGGGACTACTCTTTGAAAATCACTAATCTAAATCAAACCTCACATGGAACCAGGTGACTAGAGAAGATAAAAGATACAAGCCTGGGTTTACACTGGATGACCAAGCTGGATCTAGGGTCCAGAACTGCTAATTACCCCATCCAGGGCTTTTTCCATTGCATCACATGGACTTCAGTAATAGAAAACAGGGGAAACCACATGTGTACACACTTTCGGTAGGAAAAATCTGGAGCCCTGCAACTAAAAACAATTGTATGTTCAGAGGTGTACTGTTGGAGTATGGCTATTATATTTATTTAGTTTCAGTCTCTTTCGTCTTCTCTCTCGTTTTGCGCCCAGGACAATTTGATCATAAATCTACTGTAACTAATTCCAATAATTTATTATAATACATTCATTAGCAATGATCATTTAGCTCCAAATGACAAAATTTTCCTTAACTTGTTTTAAGTAAAACAATGATATGAAAATTCAAAGTGCCCTTTATTAAACACAAGCCAAAATATCCAGTGGCCAATTAGAATCTAGGCTGAGAGATGATAGAAAGCTCATTTCTAGCTCTATTTACAGAAGTAACGGTAGTGGTAATGATAATCACAGCAACTAGTCCTTTCCAGTGTTTCCTATATGTCCAGCACAGGGAAAGTGATTTACATGCTCTATCTCATTTAATCTTCAAAATTCTATGGTGTACTTACTGTTATTATTCTCAGTCACTTAATGAGGAAGACAAAACTGTGAGAGTTTAAGTAACTTTGGTCAATTAAAAAGTAGTCGAGCCAGGATTCAAGTCCCAGGTAAAACCAGCTCAAAGTCTATACTTTTAAGTCCCATTTAAAGTCATTTCTTACTAAACCAACCTCACTGAGATAAGGAATATAATTCTTTGTGATAACAATTATTTGACTGGAAGTTTTATAAACATAATTGTAATTTGTACAAAGTTGTAATAAATAATACACAGAAATCCAATGTACCCTTTACCCATTTTCCTCCAATAGTAGCATCTTGAAAAACTATAGTACAATATCACAACTAGGGTATTGACCTTGATATAATCCAACAATCTTATCCAGATTTCCCCAATGTGATACTATTTTAAAGGAATCATCTGTCTTAAAAATTAGTAAGGGTAATGGAGGTCTATGAATACTTCCAACCACCATCTGTTATAGAAAACTCACCAGTAC